GCCCGCACAGCCCCCGAAGCGCCGAGGAGGGCGCATGCGCGGTGAGGAGGCGGGAGGGCGGGGCTGCCGCGCTCTTTTGTCTGCGAGAAGAGCCCCCCTCCTTTACTCCCCCCCCCGGCAGGGGGCGCCCCCGCGCGCTGCCCCCCCAACCCCCGCCATTTTAGCCCAGCGCCTCCCCGAGGACGAGAGCCCCCGTTGGGCTCCGCTGAGCAGCGGAATAGCCCCCCGAAACAGCAGCCGCATTTCCCCTCGCCCTCAGCTAGCGCAGGAGGRGCTACGGGAGGAGCAGGGTCCATCCCCCCTTGGCACGGCGGGCAGTCTTGGGGAGCACCCGTTTGGGGGGTTCGTCACACCATGAGGGACCAGCATCCCCCCTGAAGCCCTGAGAGCTGCTCATGTCCCCCCTGGCTCCCAGGAGAGTCCTCTTCCCTGCACCACCCGCAAGGCCCCGCTCGGGAGGCTTGTGGACACGGTGGAGACCCCTCAAGGCAATTACCGCCTTGCAGCACTCGGCTGCTACACCCCGTGATTGGATTTGGTGGAGGAACTGCGGGAGGGAGCCTTTGTCGGGCAGCCTGGGGTTTCTTTTTTATTATTATTATTGTTTTTCCCCAGGGATCATTCAGGTGCAGATCAAGGGCAAGTGCCTGACCCCAAAACAGGCTTCTGACAGAGGYTGTAAAGGGAAAAATAGTGCAAAAGGGAGAAAGAAACAGACGTGGAGCCTCAAGTGCTGCAATCTTAAAGCAAATGAGCCCGCTGTTGGGTAGAACAAAGGTCCCAAGGTGTTCTGTAACCCTATGGGGAACCAGAATCCCTATGTCTTTAGACTGCAGTATTAATAACTGCTCAAGAGCTATCAGAGGATTAACCCTGAATGAGATGGAGATCTTGACTTCTGAGGTGTCCTTACCAGGTCATTGGAAAGAGGGGAGACATTAAAATCTTTCCATTTTTGACTGCCTTAACAATGACATAAGTTGGCATTATGCTCTKAATTGGTAGGAGAAGTTTTCCCAAGGTAAATACGTGTTCTGTGAAAGAGATCRGGGCTTTTGGAACTGGGAAACGCTGCAGCACAATGAGGGGAGCCGTCCTTGTGAGGCAATACAGAGCAAGCTGAGTTTGAACTTCAGAGTGCAAACAGCTAGAGTCCAATTTTGGAACAGCAGCTCTTCCTACAGGCAGTATGGATGTACTGGGAATGAGAGTGTGCAGTCAGTGTCCCAGAGCCAAGTCCTCTGTTGCACAGCCAAGCACCTTCCTGCCCTAAAGCCGGGTGTGCAGGACTTGGAAATCAAGATGTGCTACCAAAAGCAGTACTCCGAAGGGCACCATGAGCAAGGACTCGCTGCTCAACACTCCGTGTTCACAGAAACAGAACYTCAGACACATTCTTGATAAACAAGGCTACTGGGGGTAGCCAGTAATTACTGGTGGTAATTCTTAATAAATTACTGGTGGTAATGGTTGAGGTTGGAAGGGATCTCTGGAGATCATCTAGTCCAATCTTCCTGCTCAAGCAGGGACACCCAGAGCATGTGGCACAGGGTGGCATCCAGGTGGGTTTGGAGACCTCCAGAGCAGGAGCCTCCACAGCCTCCCTGGGCAGCCTGTGCCAGGGCTCTGTGACCCTCACAGTGAAGAAGTTCCTCCTCGCATGGAGATGGAGCTGCCGGGGTTGCAGCTTGCACCCRTTGCCCCTTGTCCTGTTGCTGGCCACCACTGAGCCACAATGGAGAGGGCTGCTCCCCACGGGCAGAAGCACAGAGGAGCGCTGGAGAGGGCTTCTTACCTGCACGCACAGCGGGTTCACACCTAAAGTAGGCATCAATCACTGCATGGAGCTGTTGCAGCCACTTCTTGTTCATAGGGTGGTTTTGCAGGGAAAGAGGGAATTTCTTCCCTCCCTTTCTTCTAGGCCTGTACTGCTCCTCGCTGGAAACAAGACACTACACTTGCTTTTAACCCTCAGCGTCACTTTTTAAAGGAAAACGTGTGTTAGGCTTTTAGCTTCCATGTTTCTTCATCCATAAAGCAGGGATCAGCTTCCTTACAGCTGAGTTTTACCATTTGTTTCCAAACTGCCTCAAGGTTTCCTAGGGCATGGGCTCTAACAGCTAAAACACATTTCTCAGTGGGAATCGATCTGCATCCATGTGACAATTCCTGGCTTACAGCAGCTTTAAGTCCAACATCCCTGAGGCCTCATCCATCTACCAACTGCTTCATTTCAGTCACTTAATTCAGATTAAGGGYGGCCTTTGCAAAACCATAATGATTCTGGGTAAAGTAAATACATTCCATGCTAGCTTAACGCCATTACAATACCAGTCGTTTTGCAAGCTAGCCATTAATGTTCACCTAAATAAGGGAAATGGGTTAATCGCTCTCAAAATGGTTTCTAGTGAGGAGACCAGATTGATGTCTCTGAAACAATTCCAGATGCTCTTGCCTGCTGATAAATGACAGGATGGTCCCATCCTGAATAAGGGAACCGCCGATACAAGCTCCGGACGAGCTGCCCAGGACATTGTGACACCAGGCCGGGTTTCCTAGGGGCTCGCCAGGCTCCGGAGCCGCAGAGGGGACGGGGAGCTGGGAAAGCAGCAGCCGTTCTGCTGCGTTATGTGGGCCGGCTCCGAGGCAAAGAGCCGCCTCTGGCTGCGGAGCTTCCCTCCGGCTGCGGAGCTTCCCGGCAGTCCGTCTCCGCACGCCGCTCCAGGCAYGGGAAGGGATGAGCGCGCGGCTGGCGCCGCTCCCCGCGAGCTGAAACCCAACGCACGTTTATAACACACACATCCCACGGTGCTCTCCAAAGCGGGCTGACATTTCCCTTGCGCCAACAGGCACCCGGAGTCACCCTTCCGAATCCCGCTGGGAACAGAGCCGTGACTCAGCACAAAGAGCCGCTGTCTCCCTGGGAACACCGCGAGGAGCCAAATGTCCCACTTACCTCTGATCACTTCTGCAAGTCGTTAACCCTTTGGGCACCCTTTGCCCTCCCGCGGACTTCCCTGCATGAAAATCCTTGGAGCTTTTGCTTCTAACTCGTGCACAAGGTGGGCAGGGCCCAAGAAACAGAAGGCACAAGACCCCACATCCGCACGGGTTTTATTGATGAGTTAATCACTCTTTCATTTCATATTGATTCGATCAATAGGAATTGATCRTGTGTCTGTTAGAGGCCGAGTTGTCCGTGAGGGAGCCGCACAGAGCACCAATTCCGTGACCCGACGTGAATTTATTCCGCAAGCCGGGGCCAGGACGGATCAAGAGCAGCTGAGGGAGCTCCGGGCCCCRCGCAGGACCCGGGAGCCCCGGCAGGGCGCACGGCACCCACGGTACCGGCAGAACGAGCCCGGACATCCGCTTCACACAGGGACCACGCCGACACCGGGGCCACGTGCAAACAGCCCTGGCGACACCGGCACCGGGGAGCCACCTCGGGGCGCTCCCCTCTCCCCACGGGAAGCGGCTCCCGGATAACCCCGCTGCGGCCCCGCGCGCGAGCGCAGCCCGAGGGGGACACGCGTGGGG